GACATCAGTTCATCTGTATGTCCAGGCTTATTTAGCCTGCTGAGAAGAAGAGCCTGCTGTTTGTATTAGATCCTGTCTTTGGCAAAGTGGAGATGATTAGATAAAGTGTGTCTGGCGGAGTGGAGCACTTTTTCACTTTGCAGCGGCACGGCTGTGAATGAAAAGAGTGAGGGACTCCACTGTCTGACAATAGCATAGAAAAATCTTATAAGAGGATTTTTAATGCATCTGGGAACTTAGACTTCTATTAGCTTCTTAGTTAATCCAAAGAAGTCGATTCACCACACTGCACTACAGTCCATCTTAAAATTCTTACATTCAAGTGTTTAATTTGATTTTGTTTCCCCAATCCTACTTCTATACGCACACAAAAAAAATCCTCCTAAAAGACGATGCTATAAGCAGGTGAAAGAACAAAGAAAAATTAAGGAGAAATACAATAGCTCACATTTTGAATCTCCTCCCTGCTGTACTGTCCCTTCTGCTTTCACTTTATTTTGTCATAACACAATAGCTGAACCCTGATGTCTTAAAAGGTAATGCAGGAGCATAGGGGTGCTTGAGGAGAAAATTGCTGCAGCTCACAGCGGCTGGAGTGAAATACCATTTTGTCTCGCTCAAGATGGATTCCACAGTGAGATTTCAGAGGGCCAGTACTGAATCAAAATGGAGAAGCCAGAAGGGAGAAATAGAAGAAAGGCATGGATGGGGATAGATTTTGGTTTTGCTTCTCCGTCATGACAAATATTTTCAGGGCTTTCAGCCATTTTAGATGTGAAGTTATTTATTGTGGGGTTAAGTTACTATCCTCTCCTTTTGCAACCCTTAACAAAGATTTACAATCATAACGACTCCTTTCAGAACGGACATGAAGGAAGAGGTGAAAATATAAAAAATGGGAATAAAGATAGAAGACAGGCCTTCCTAAGCAGTGAAAACAACTCTTGCTTTCTGGTATGCATACATGGCTGCTGGGCACACGGATACACACACGCCGTCACACCCTCCCTTCCTCTCTTCATAGATTCCGCTCGCTGGTTGCCCGTCTAACAGCCCTGTATGTAAAACCCGTGAAACCCCTTTAGGACATCATATCCCTGGAATCCGTTGTCGGTTCTATCTAGGTCAGTGCTTACAATAGCTGAGCAGTTTTGGTTTCGCTTCCCTCTCCTCTGTGCACCCCCCCCAACCCACCCACCCAAACCCCAGTTTGTTGAGCCCCACAAGGTTGATTTTATTTTGCCTGTATAAACATCAAATAATGCACATAAAATCCAAGCATATTAAGCATCTTTTGTTTCTTTTATACATCGTGGTCTTCAGCTAAATATCAAAACTGCACTGTTTGATGTAAATTTAAGACATAAATCTAGAAACGTCTAGAAAAGATTTCCTATCTGGAGCAATTATTTTCCCAATTCATTTTGAACAGTTTGGTCAGGACTGTGTCATATTTTAATGTTTTAATGCAGTTGAGTACATTGGCCCATTGAAGCGTGAAACATCAAGAAAAATCATAATTATAGCCTGACATATGGTTGTTTTGTCTGATCTATAGGGGATGATGTTACAAGGCCTAAATGAGGCCGTATGCAATCTGGTCACCCACACAGAGACAAGATTACCATCCACTTGCTTCTTGTCTCTTTGAAAAATACACTTTGCTTTACTTCACGTTCCTAAAAAGATTGGAAAAATAAATGTTCATTTTAAATTTTTAGGGGGGGTTCTTGTTTTAAAATTTTATTGATTTTGATTTACATGATTTCATACTGTCTAACTTTTAATTTTCTTGTTATTTAACTGAGGTGCACTCAGTATAAATAAAACAGACCACTCACTGTTATACTTGTTAACATTATCTGAAGATCCACAGTGACAACAAATGAGATTTATAAAGAACTACGAGATGCATGTTTAGTTTAAAAAAAAAAAAAAATCCGCAGGCATGGATCTACAGTATACTTCCCTTCTTTCCAATCTAAACAAACCCTTCAGCAGTCAGAGTAAACTTTACCAGTACGTGATAATAATATTAATCTGTTGTCCAATTTAAAAAAAAGATATTTCTTTAAAAGATTTTATCAATGCACAATTTTATTATGTTACAATTAGAGGTTAAACTGTTTTTTTTTTCTTTTTACCTAATAATGTTCATACATTAAATATGACATTATTGTTATAAAACCTACTCAGACTCATCTTTTGATGAATGCCTTAATGTTAGA